GCAGTTCACCCCATTATTTAACCAAAAAAGTAAAATGTCCTTCACTGCCTACAGCTTTACATACAATACTTTTTAGGTTCCTGGGATTTGGCATGATCTTTAGAGTGCTGTGCTGAATTCTCTCTGATGTGAATGCTAATGGTTGATCGTCATGTAACAGGCTACATCTACTGGACAGAGTGTTGAGATGAGATACCATCCTATTGCTTTTCCAGAATAAAGATAATAATCCTGGGCTGATTGACCAAAGGTAGTATTCCATTGGCTAAGATGGAAGTGCAGGAGGCACGTAGGTGAGCTTGATTTAGGCTCCTTTCTAGTCCTTTAAGATTTATTTATTTATGCATACAATAACTGGGGTATAGGCCAGAGGTGTTGGGTGTGAGAGGATTCCCCAGAGACAGAGTGGGGAGCAGAACAGGCAGATTGTCTGAAACATACTGCTGAGGGGCTCAGCGGGGAGATGGGTAGGTCTGCTGAGCCCTGGGGGTCCCCCCCTGGCCAGGGGTGGAACTCAGCCTCAGCCACTGCAATAGCTTCACAGTGCTGAGACTTTAACCCCTATGCTACCAGGAGGGCCGCCATTTCAGGGTATCATTCTGTCTCTCATAGAAGGTTTAGTTATCTATCCCCCTCCATCCAAAACAAAATGGACTTTACACAGTTTTAAGGGAAAATCTATTTCCGAACAAATGCCTGTGGCATTTTGAAGAGCATGTCTTACCAGAAAGAGTAGAAAGAAAACTAATGAGAAGAAAGAATGACATCAATTAGTATGGGAGTATCCTAGATATTCTTAGATCAGCCTCTCCTGTCCTATATTTTAACACTTTTAAAAAAAATATTTATTTGTGCATACAGAACTGGGGTACAAGCCAGAGGTGCAGGGGCAGTGAGAGGATTCACCAGAGACAGGATGGGGAGCAGAATAGGCAGATCGATGAAACATACTGCTGAGAGGAGCAGCAGGCGGGTCAGGAGAGGTCTGCTGCGCCATGTGGGTCATCTCTGGGGTGGGGATTGAACCATGCTGAAGTGGCTTTAGCTTCTTAGTGCTGTGCTTTAACCCGCTGCACCACCAGGGAGGGCCCCACACTTTTTGTTTTTAAACAAAACTATTCTTTATTGGGTAACCTATGTGAAAAGCACAAGTATATATGCACCATTTCATTAACTTTCCTAATCACCCTGCAAGGTAAGGATGTGGAAAATAGTTCCTTATGAAAATAAAACTGGAAGACAAATGTTAACGCAACCCTGTACAACCAAAAATAGTATTTTCAGAATCTTTATTTGGAGAATCTTCTATTTTGGCTTGATGCTTCTGTAACTGAGTTTGCAAACCTTGAGTCATTCGGCATCAGGAGAGTGAGGAAGGTTACAATTTAATAAAATGACTCATCAGGTACTATGTGGTCATGTAAATGTATGGGGGAAACCAGTCAGCAGTCTTGGGGGAGGGAGGCAGGGTAGTCCTGGTTCCATATTGAGTTATGTGACCTTGTAGAATTCATTTCCTTCTTTGGTGAGTTCACTTCTCTCATCCCCTCTAAAATAAAGGGTACTTCAGAATCTACTTAAGCAAATCTACTTGAGACCAGCTAGAAGCTGGTCACTGCCCTCAATCTGATCCCTAAAACTTGGGTGTTAGATTCATAGCATCTGTGGAGATTCCTTATTGTGGTGTTCACACTCATTAGTGGTTTTGGAGCCTTTCATATTCGTCTACTCAGTAAATGTATTTTGAGTAAGTGCTTGTGAAAGCTCTTTTCCTTCTTAGCTCTATGGAGGATGTCTCCATCAAATATTGCCATATGTTTGGTGACAGTACTTTCTGGCATCTTCTAATGCCGTCATTACCCTATGTGGCACTTGCTTCCCATTCTGTGCATTGATCCAGATGTTTCTTTATGTGAAACCTTGAAAAGTCTCTCTTTGTAACATCAGTGCCTTTATGCCATTTAAATCTAATTATTGGAGATTTTGAGGGAAAGATCTTGATTGATATTTGACAGATTTTGCACTGAGATTAAAGTTAGTCAGTTTTCCTCTCTTGAATTTGCTTTTCTAGTGAAGCATTAAGAGAGAACAGATCTTCAAATCTATCAAAATAGCTAGCATTTATGTAATACTCCAGAGTGTATGAAGTATTATTTACAGCATTATCTAATAACCACGATTCCATCCGCCTACTTGTAGATAGAGAAATAGGAGTAAAGAGACTAAGTGACTGACTCAGGGTCTAATGGCTAATAAGAGGCAAAGTCTTGGTTCTCTAATTCCAAATCTTAGATCTTTCCCACTATCCCATGTAGCCTGTGACTGTTCTTTTGTTTAAAAGCCATCATAGTGGCACAGGGGTGATTTGGTGATGGGAAACCCATGGGGATTACAATTGAGATGAAAAAAAAATGTGCAAAATGATGTAAAAATAAACTTTAAAAAAAATAAAAAATAAATAAATAAAAGCCATCATAGTTTGTGAGCACCTAAAAGTGGGTTGAGAATCTGACCTTTCATCTGTAAGATCCAATCAACTTCATATGGCTACAGAGACCTAATATAGCCATGGCTGCAGTACGAGTGTTAGAAAATAACCTGGTGAAACCTTTGAACCACCACTGCTATGGTGTTTTGGATTATGCTGTCTAATCTTTATTTTCAAATGAGGTAATTAGTGTGTGGTGTTTGTTTCTGAAGCGGGCAGCTAGCAATTAACAGGAACAGGCCCCAGCTAGAAAGGGGCTGTTTTCACTTCTTTCAGACAGCCAGCTGTGGTGCAGCACATGAAATTTCCTTTTTGGAATGTCATTTCCAACAGATGTCCTTCATTGTCTTTGCCCTGATGCACCCCAGCCTTTAGTCTGTAGGGAGAGGTGTCTACATTGTAAAGACACCTTCCAAATAATTGAGAGCTGTTTTGTGCCAGCAACTTAAGTCTTCCCAGGTTGCACTAAAATCGGGTCAGATCTAGCCTGGGTTTCTGCCACGCCTTGGCATGGGGAATCAGCAACTTTTTTCCTCAGGATATGATCAGTATTTCCTCTCTGGTAATTTCACTGTTGACAAAAACTATTTCTTTTCACTTTTGACTGCAGTTCTAGTCTAAATAGTCTCAGGGGCTCTGGCTCCAACCTCCTGGCATTCTAATCCCAAGCAGCCAAGATCAGACTACTGGGATATCTCTTTACTGGCAGCCCCAGACTTGAACTTTGGAAATCATGGGAAATTCCATTCTTTGTGCACATACATCTTTTGACTCTATCATATAAGAGTTTTCCATGACATAGTCCTATGTGTGTATAATAGCTTACTGATTACAGATGATTTAGAGTATCAAGTCTGGATTTGTACTGCTTCAGTTTGAATCTCAATTCCAAGTTTCAGAGTTATAAGAAGACTATTTCCAGTCCTCCCTGTGGCGCAGTGAGTTAAAGCACAGCACTAAGAAGCTAAAGCCACTTCCTCATGAGTTCTATTCCCGCCTGCCCTGTAGGTGACCACATGACATGGCAGACCTCTACTGGCCCGCCCGCTGCTCCCCTCAGCAGTGGACTTCATGGATCTGCCTGTTCTGTTCCCCACTCTGTCTCTGGTGAGGCCTCTTGCCACCCCTGAGCCTCTGGCCTGTACCCCAGTTCTGTATGCACAAATAAATAAATCTTTAAAAAAAAAAAGACTATTTCCTCTCTCAATGCTTCAGTTTCCTCAGATTTTTCATGACAGAAAGTAGTTGCCGCTTTTTGTTATTATTGTGTAAGTAAGAAAATGAAGACCCAGAGAAACTAAGTAGGGACACTGGAGCTGAGATTAAAAACCCAAATTACTCTTACTTTGTGCCTGTTCTGTCCGCCCCATCTTGGCTGCCTCTGAAATCAATGTCTTAAATTTTATATAAGTAGCTTTGATCCTTAGGAACTCTGGACCTCTTACTGTCATTTATTATTTAAATTTTCATGAAGAGTACAGCATTTATAATCTCTACAAATAAAGGGAGGCACAGAAAAGTTATAGTGACAGAAAATCAGATTTAATTCCTACTTAGGAGTGCATACCAAATGCCAGCTCAGAGCAAAAGAAACATTCCATCCTTCGTTTTCCATCTCTCCCCTTTCCTGAGTTCCTGACAGAACCTTAAGTGAGTAGAAACTCTGGAGTAAGAAAGTAAAACTCCTAAGTACTAGGAGTCTAGTAGGCACTCCTGGGGCATACACCAGGCTCACAGAGAAGAGGAAGAGTAGCTGAGAGCTAGTGAGTATGACATATTCCTTGGCGTGGCTGGGAATAAGTGAACACCATTTCTTGCTGCAGTGGCTGTAGCAGAAGTGTGGGATATACCCTTAACGTCAGCTAAAGTGATAGCAGAAGTCTTCCTAATGATTTTTTAAAAATTTGAATTGTATTATTTTTCTAAAGATTTATTTATGCATGCAGGAACTGGGGTGCAGACCCAGAAGTGTGGGAGGTGAGAGGATTCACCAGAGATAGAGTGGGAACAGGAGAGGTTCTGCTGCACCATGTGGGTCAGCTCCCTGGCCAGCTGGGGATGGAACGCATGCTGTAGTGGCTGGCAGAAGCTTGGTAGGCTGTGTCTTTAACCCTTGTGCCACCAGGGAGGCCCCTGAATTGCTGCATTATTTAATTTGAGCTCTCTTCACATTTGCCTAGGTTCTGGAAAAAGTGGAGAGAATAAATTCAAGAGATATTTGGGAGACAGATTTCATCCCCAGAAAAACCTTGCGAGTAACCACACATTAGTTTTGTTTGTTTTATGAAAAAGAAGTGACTTGCACATTGGTATAAGGAAAATACCAAAACTCCAACTTACATTTTTTGACTTTAAGTTTAGAAATTGGCCCAACATACCCTCTTCCCATGCAGGGTTCGAGTGACTAGTAACAGAACTGAGCCTGAGGCCTTGTGCTGAATGCTGTGCACTCTACTTGTGAAGGGATACCGCGTCGTCTTTCCATACAATCACCTTTAGGTGTAATAATTACCTAATATTTCTACTTTATTTTAGGTTATCATTTGGAAGCAATGGGTTTAAAACCTTTTACCTACCCATTTCCAGAGACGAGGTTTCTTCATGCAGGACCCAATGTGTATAAATTCAAAATCAGATATGGCAACAGCATCAGGTAATTTTAAAGGTAGGAGTATAGAGTGCAAATACAAGTTAGTGCATCCTTCTCTGCCTTCACCCGGCTGGGAAGACTGACACTGTATGACTCTTTCCCAGGTATTTTATCAGTATGTGCTGTATATTTATTATTCATGGATGTTCATACATCAGTGATGGAAAATCTTAGGGGCAATGGTTCTCAAAAAAATTTTTTTTCCTCTTTGTACGCTTAAGATTATTAAGGTTCCCAAAGAGTTTTTGATTATGTGGGTTATCCTGTCAGGATTAATCATATGAAAATTAAGATTACATACTTATTATCTTTAAAGTAATATATAGTTAAATGTCAACATATATCAGAATAACTTTAAAAATTAATGAAAACATTAGCATTATTTACAACCTGGGATTTGCCTCAGAATGCAAGAATGCATCAACATACACAACCCAAACAACATAATACACTACCTTCATATAATGAAGGGAAGAAAAGCACATGATCAACTCCAGTGATGCAGAAAAATCATAAGTTTAACACCTTTTTATTGTAAAAACATTCAAGAAATATAGGAGCTTCCTCAACATAATAAAGACCACATAAGGAAAACCTACAGTTAACATACTCAGTGGAAAAAGTTAAAGCTTTCTCCTTAAGCTCAGGAACAAGACAAGGATGGCCACCTTCACTGCTGTTCAGCAAAGTACTAAGGTTCTAGCCAGAGTAACTAGTCAGGAAGAAGAAATACAAATTGGAAAGGAAGTCAAGTTATTGCTACTGGAAGGTAATGTGATCTTATTTTTTAAGATTGATTTATTTATGCATACAGAACTGGGGTACAGGCCAGAGGTGCAGGGGCCGTGAGAAGATTCACCAGAGACAGTGGGGAGCAGAGCAGGCAGACTGAAGAAGTACACTGCTGAGGGGAGGTCTGCTGTGCCATGTGGGTCACCTCCGGGGCCAGGGATTGAGCTCACTCTGAAGTAGCTGTGACTAGCTCACAGTGCTGTGTCCTAACCTGTTGTACCACCAGGAAGGGCCCAAAGGTGACGTCTTATATATGGAAGACCCTAAAGAATCTGCCACGCACACAAAAAAACTTACAACCAACAAAGTTGCATGATAGAAAATTAACATGCAAAAATTGTTTGTAGTTGTATACAAGCAATTTGAAAATAAAATTAAGAAAATAATCCATTTACAAAAAGTATAAAAAAGGAAAAGCCACTTAGCAGTAGATTTTGTCAAAGAGAGACAAAACTTGGACACTGAAAACAAAAAAATTGCTGAAAGAAAATAATACTGTGTTCATGGATTAGAAGACATTAAGGGGACAGTAGACTGCAAAGTAATCTACGGATTCAGTGCAATCTCTATCAAACTCCAGTGATATATTTTACAGAAATGGACAATCCCATCCTAAAGTTTACATAATCATATATATAACTATAACTTGTGTAAGTTTAAGCGACCTGAAGTAGCCAAAGCAGCTTCACAAAACATAAAGTTGACCCCTCGAAGTGTTTTTCACACTTCCCAATTAAAAACTGCAAAACTGCAAGGAATTGGCAAGTGTACTGGCGTAAGAACAAACCTGTAGAACAACAGAATAAAACTGAAATCCCAGCATTAACCTTCACATCTGTGGTCAGCTGCTTTTCAACTACAGTTCCAGGATCATTCAAGGAGGAAAGGACAGTCTGGGGAGACTGGATACCCCACGAGTAGAAGAATGAAGTTAGACTCTGACCTTATACAGTTTATGAAAGTTAACTAAATTTAGAAGAAAAAGGGCAAATCTTTGTGATATTAGACTTAGTAGCAGGTTGTTTAATACCAAAGGCACAGGCAACATAAGAAATTAGATAAATTAGACTTGATTAAAATTTGTTTTAATTGTGCATCAAATGCACTGTCAGAGCAAAAGGCAACCCACAGATAGCAGAGAATACTTACAGATTACACATTTGTTTATATAGAGAGAACGCCAAACAAAGAAAGAGGACCTGAGCAGACATTTCTCCAGAGATGTCCATGACCAGTAAGCACATGAGAAGACTCTCGGTGTCATCAGTCACTGGGGAGATGGACATCAGAACCACTGATTTATAAACCACCACGAGACCTGACACCTATTAGGATGACTAACTTTTTTAAATGGAAAGTAAGAGTTATCTCAAGGATCTGAAGAAACTGGAACCTTTGTATATATTGGTGGGAATGGTACAGCTATGTAGAAAACAGATCAGTAGTTTCTCAAAAGTCAGATGTGGACTTATGTTTATGTGTTTATGACATATGACCCAGCATTTTCTTTTCTTTTTTTTTTTTTAACACTGGCTTTCTTCTTTTTTTTTTTATTATAACAGTTTATTTTTGCATCATTTTGTACATTTTTTTTCCATCTCAATTGTAATCCCCGCGGGTTTTCCATCACCAAGTCACCCGTGTGCCATCACCATAATCCCGTGCACTTCCCTCCCCACCCCCCCATTTTTGATCCCATTCCCCACTCCACCCCCACAAAATGTCTCTGGTCTATGGTTGTTCATTATTTTTGTTATTTTCTCGCCTGGTCCATTATACTCCTGCTATGAGTGAAACCATCCAGTATTTTTCTTTCTCTTTCTGGCTTATCTCACTAAGCATGATCTTTTCCAGCTCCATCCAAGTTGCTGCAAAAGACATGTGTTTCTCTTTTTTGGTTGCTGAGTAATATTCCATTGTATATATGTATAACATCTTTTTTATCCAGTCATCTACTTTTGGGCATTTGGGCTGCTTCCATGTTTTTCCAATTGTAAATAAAGCAGCAATAAACATGGGGGTGCAGGTATCTTTCTCAATCAGTGTTTTTGTGTCTTTTGGGTAGATACCTAGGAGTGGGATTGCTGTGACCCAGCATTTTCACTTGTGGGTATTTACTCAGAGAATTGAGAACAGGACTCAAACACACTTATACAGCAGTGCCCATGACACCAGCGTTTACAACAGTCAGAGGTATAGAGAACTGAGGGGGACCAACGTGCCCACAAATAGGTGGAAGTACAAACACAATGTGATTATATGTGTGGATAAATATAATGAAATTTTGTTCAGCCATAAAAAGAAATGCAAAAGGAATGAAGTTTTAATACATGTACAACCTGGATGAAATTAATGCCAAATCAGATAAATCACAAAATTACACACAGATATTGTGTGATTCCACTTATATGAAATAATAGGACAGGAAACTTCAGAGAGCTAGAAGATAGATTAGAGGTGACCAGAGGCTGGATGGAGGGAGGAGTGGGAAGTTAATGAGTACAGTGCTTCTGTTTGGGGATACGGGTTTTGGAACTAAATTGTGGTGATGGTTGCACACCTGGCTGTGAGTGTAATTAATGCCACTGAATTGTATACTTAAAAATAGTTAAAATGCTGAATTTTAGACTATATGTTTCACCACAAATTAATTTTCTTATGGTTATTATTTTTACTTTTTTTTTTTAAGATTTATTTATTCATGCATTCAGAATTGGGTACAGGCCAAAGTTATGGGGAGAGAGAGGATCCATCAGAGAGAATGGGGAGCAGAACAGGCAGATGTACTGAAATCCACTGCTGAGGGGAGCAGCGGGTGGGTCAGAAGCAGTCTGCCACGCCATGTGGGTCACTCCCTGGCCGGGGATCGAACTGCTTCTACAGTGGCTGAGAATAGCTTCATAGTGTTGTGTTTTAACCTGTTGTGCCACCAGGGAGGGCCCTTATTTTTACTTTTAATTCAGGTAACTGGTTGACAGCCCTTAGTATAGGTTCACACTTCATTACTTATCATCCATGCCGAGGCTCTGCCGGTCTCTGGCATTCCAGCTTTGGTATATGGACTGCATAAGTGAGTGTTACTGCTCACTCAACTTTAATATGTATTAGTTAATTTTTAATAATAATAAATTCATTAAATATTAACATTTTTATTGAAAATATTTTCTAAAACAAAAGATCAATGAGACTTGGATTTTTTAAGTTTCTGTAAATCTCATTGATATTGGCTAGATAAACATAGCTGCTTTACAAATTTTTTTGGTTGAATTATATGAAAATCCAGTTTCACATCCATTTATAGTTGCAAAAGGTAGGGATATGTTAATAGCCACTTCAGATCATCGTGGATATTCTTTGATCCTACATCAAAACTTGACATATGGTCGTTTTTGAAAGGTTAGTTGCAATGTGGAATCTGAAATTACGGTAGTGAGCTTCTTGAACTCTCCTACATTCAAATCCATTGTTCTGGCTAGTTCTTTAATGCATCTTTTACCTCCAAGGACTTTGGAACATGGTGCATTCCATTGGTTACTTGGAAAACATTGGTTCCCTGACTTGTGCAAATGTCCAAATGTTGACACATTTCATTACAGTATCTGTGATCATAACCACTCATCTCACCGCCAGTTTTATCAGAAAATGCTTATGTATTTGGAGACTCTCACCTTTACCATGGTGAAATAGTTTTCCAAAATTCAAATTTTTGCTTGAAATCCTAAAATTTATCATTGACAACAAATTCTGCCAGTTGTTTTCCTTGAATTGATAAGCTCACTTTGTTCAATTTGAGAAAATGTCAGATTCTCCAGTCTGAATAAAAAATGTGGCTTGTCAGCTGATCAAGTAAAATATCAAATGCATGTCAGAAGCAGCCAGTTCAGTTAGCAGCTTCCATAGTCACACAGGGCTTTTTCTCAGTCAACCGTCGTGTTTCTGGATGCAGCAAAAGTACTTCATGGGTCCTTCCCATTTTGTGACCAAATATATTTAAGATGCATGTATTCAAGGGTCAAGGTTTTATAAAACTAGCCATTTACCGCTTCAAGAATATTAAATGAAACTGGATTTTTTTTTTCACTTTAACAGTGAAAAATCATACCTGCGAGTGCAGTTTTAGATCTAGATTTGTGCTACCAGCAGTTTTCCTACCATTCCTTTTGCACGAATGTTTACAAGTGTTCATGAAAAAGGTAAATAACATCTTAGTGTTATGATGAAAATTGTTTTGCCCTTGGAGACCCCTTACAAGGGAATCCACGACTCCTAAGGATCCACACACTACAATGAAGTGCTTGGTCTGACAAATAACTAATTTTCACAGTGGAAATCTCAGGTCTTGGCAGCTTAATAAAAATATTTTGGTACAACCTCCTACCATTTTCAGACACACCCCTGGAAGATCACTTCTTCCCTTCAGCACTGGGCCAGCACACACGACTCTTTTTTCAGTCATGCTTCTTTGGCTCAGTGGACATGGCATTTTTGCTAGTGAAGAATCTACTGTCTCCACAGCTTTCCTTCTTGATATACTTATCTGTCTCTTGTCTGTTTACCTTCTAGAGGGGAAGAGATAGAAAAAAAGGAAGTCATCTCCCAGGAGCTGGAGGTAGGGACAGAAGCAGACAACTTCTGGAGTTATTCTTTAAGCCAAAGATGTGTCCATACCCACATTTTAATCATTTCCTACAAACCAAATCCTGCTCTCCACTAGATTACTTGGGTTTTCCCTGCCACGGTTCCTCTGGGGCAAAAAAAGGTCACTGTTTTTCCAAGGAAAGTTAGAGCCTGAGTATCCTTTTTCAGTTCTCATAGTTGAAGTGTCAGCACCTCTGAGGGTGGGAGTTGTTTCCACCAGAGTTCCCAGCCACAGCAGCTCTGTTTTGTGGCAGCTGGCATGGAGAAAGCTTCCAGAAGGCTGCCGCCTTCCAGGGCTCTGGGGAACCTCACCACCCCGACCACTGCCTGGTACTTGACGTTCAGGAAACTCAATTGTAAACACACAGACAAGGCTGCTGTGTCTTCATTTTAATTGGAAACATTTGCAAGTATTCAATTCCCACTTCCCTTTCATTCTTTTCCCACCCAGCCCAGCTACCTTAGGCTCTCCGATAGGAAGGAGACTGAGCTGGTGGACAACTTTGTAAATTGGTAAAAAGCTTTTGGACGGGGAGTTAGCATTCTGGGAGTTGGCACTGTATTCTAGTCCTGACAGAGCCACTAATTAGTTGTGTGATCCAGAGCAAATAATTTCTCTGTGGGTCCTCATTGCTTCATTCATGTTGAAAGCTACCTTGGGAACTTACAGAAGCCCCGAAACTTTGCAAGTGATACCGACTTCATACAGGACTATGACAATGTTCTGCTCGTTTTCATTGTGAGTAGAGCAGAGCTTACTTCACTTTGCTTCATTAATGTGCAGCACAGTAAACTGGGGAGAACACACGCTTCAGAGCCAGTCAAACCTAGATTTGAATTCTGGGTCTGCCTTCACTATGACTTTGGGCAAGAGACCTACCCTCTCTGTCTCCTTACCTGTCCACTGTGTGATCACACCTGCTTCCAAGATTGTGGTGAGGATTAGAAATAGATGTGTACAGTGACCGCCAGATAGGAGTGCCATAAAGGGGAACTAGTGAGGACTTACAATGTGTGCAGACACTGAAACTTTCAGAGCTTTCTGTGTGGTCTCTCACGCTCACTGGTTTTGAGGCAGACGTTATCATCTTTCACTCATTTAGAAAACGTTGACAGGCAGTGTGACCATTGTGGTTAAGACTGAATTCTAGAACCACAATCCCAGGTTCACATTGTGGCTCCCCCATTACTAGCTTTTGAGTTTTTTAACCTTGCTTTGTCTTGGTTTTCCTGTTTGTGAAATGGAAATAACAGAAATGCCTAGCTCACGGAATTTATATGAATGTTAACATGTATAAAAGCAATAATATATGCTGTAGGAATTAATAAAGACTATTAAAGCTATAAGCTAGATACTATGCTAGTGCAGAGAATAAAAAGATAAACGAGACACAATTCCTGACTTCTGTGAGTCCAAATAGAAGAAAAATAAGGCTTAAAATGGCAAATCAGGGCCTCCCTGGGCCTGGTGGCACAAGGGGTTAAGTTTCAGCACTACGAAGCTCCTTGAACCACTAAAGTACAAGTTTGATCCCTGGCCAGGGGAGCCCTTACAACTCTGGCTGTACCCCAGTTCCTGTATGCATAAATAAGTCTTAAAAAAATAGCAAAATGAGGGCTGAAATTCAGATTTTTTTTCACATAGAAATTCAGTGATTTTTTTTAAAAAAGATTTTATTTATGCATACAAAAGCTGGGGTGAAGGCCAGAGGTTCAGGGGTGAGAGGATTCACCAGAGACGAGTGGGAAGCAGACCAGGCAGATGGACTGAAAGACACTGCTGAGGGGGATATGGGGGAGACAAGAGAGAGGCCTGCTGCCGTGTGGGTCACCTTCCTGGTGGGGGATTGAGCTCAGGCCACAATGGCTGGCAATAGCCTTATAGTGTGAGACTTAACCTTTGTGCCACCAGGGAGACTCCAGGGATCTTTATGATGTAAAATTAGTCTAGTAAACATAGGTTAATTAGAGACTAATCAAGGTTTTTAAAGAGTAGAAGAAAAGATTTGACTTAGCAAAAATAACTCTCAATAATGGGGTGGTATTTATTTAGTATACATTTATCGAAGCCTTCTTGTGGTAGACCCCATGGGAAGGATGCTAAAATAAGTATATGTCCCGCTTCAAGGAGCTCTCCCAGTGAAGAAAATAAAACAGCATGGAGTACAGCAAAGACCGAAGGCAAACTACTGTGGAGTTTGAGAGGAATGGTTGATTATAACTTGGGATCAGGGAAGACTTTTTGGAGATGAGTTTTGAGCTGTACTTTGAAGGACAGGTAGGTTTGGGACCTGTGTTAAAGGTAGAAAGGACATTTCAGGCAGAGGGAACAGATTATCCAAAGGCACAGACGTGGAGTAACAGAAGGCACATTCCAAAAGAGCAAAGTGCCTGACTTTCGTAGACTACAGGGAGTGTGAAGAGAATAAAGGAAAGACTGGCTGAGACTACAAAGTGTTCAAGTCATTTCAAACATATATTTCAGGATTCTGTTCGTGTGGTCTTGGGAAACTTGGACAACCTGCAGCCATTTGCTACAGAACACTTCATTGTGTTTCCCTGTATCCTTTCCTACACAGAAACAAGCTGCTCGTTGTAGATCCAAGTGGAGGCAGCAAAGCCAGAGGCAGTGTGGAGGGTAGGCCAGGGAAAGGAGACTGGTCTCTCAAGCAGTGCTCAGTGATTCATACCGACTTTCCTGACTCCTTAGCGCCTTTTCCCAGATAAAAGCAAGTGGGAGAGAGTGTGCCATCTGAAATTCAGACACGGGGAAGTGGCCTTGGTCCCTTACCCATTTGTTTTCACTCTCTATGTGGAGCTGAAATGGTTTCATGAAAGTCTGTCACCTGGTAAGTAGACTGACAGGAACGTGGGTGATGGACAAGGAAAAGGGGGCTTGTGAATGCCCATGCTTAGGAAGAACAAGCTGACGTGGCAGTAAGCTCAGCCAGGCTGGGCCTAAGACTGCACAGTAAGAGCCCGGAAACACCATGGGGATTACAACTGAGATGGAAAAAGGCACAAAGTGATGTAAAAATAAAGTATTATTTTAAAAAAATGCCCAGGAACACATGCTGTGCTCCAGGCTAGACCTGGGCCAATCCCAGTGGCTCCCCACTGAGAGCTGGTGACCAGAGGTAGGTGACTTAAGCTTTCTGTGCAACTTACTGAAATGAATAATAATAATAGTAATAGTACCTATTCTGCTGAGCTGTTAAAATGATACGGTACCAGTAGATGGGACGTACCAAGTCTGGCTGAAACAGAGTCACTCAGTGAGAGATTCCTGTTACAGAAATATTTCCATTTTAGAGTGGTCAGTGACTTTCCCTTAAGTATCATCTTAAAGATACTGCCCAATTTTTTTTTATTGAAATTTATTTTCTAAAATATTTC